ACCCACCACCCACCACCCACCACCCACCACCCACCACCCACCACCACGTTCTTCACCTTCACCTCTACCTTCACTACCGCCACCAACACCTTCACTACCACCACCATCACCGTCACCACCGTCACCTGTCTCTGGAGCCCAATGTGTCTAGATCTGCTTTTACACCCCTACACCGTCTACACCCCAATCCTTTAGACAGACTGGTTGGACTCTCTTGCCAGTAGGTTTCTGTCGCAACATTCAATAGTCGATAAACTCACCGATGGGATATATTAGAGCCCCTTCAGCCAAGAGTAGAGTCCCAGTCGTCCTCCTCCTCCTCATCATCATCATCATCCTTCACTTTCGTTCATTGAAATGGACTCCTGGGTGCTGGGTTTGGCCAACAGTTACCTCACATCTCAAGAGGTCGAGGAAACGTGAAAAACAGGCTCAGCCGTGGCCATGATCCTCTCCGGTGACCCCATGAACTGCTCCACTGCGCAGCAGCTGCTTCGCACCGGCCGGGCGTCGGGCGGACCCAGTGGCGCTGTGAGTTGAGGGCACTGCCCCCTTGAGGAGGGGCGCGGATCCCAAGTGCAACCTAAGGTGTTGATCTTAGCGAGAGTTTTATTGGATGGTGTGGGGTGACATACACAGGGTACACGGCACATGGTCACCTGAAGCATGCTTCGTTAACAGAAAAACATGCACAAGGAAGAAACTGTGCCAGCATAGACCCCAAACATTTTGAGCATTATTTTTTGCGTCGCAACTCCTTGAATTCTAATGTTGGTGGTGTATATTCCAGTGGCTCCGAGCTGCTCGGGAATGGCAATGATTGAAAATCGTTCCTGGTTCCCAGGTCACATGTGCAAAATGAGGAGGTATATGATCTCATGAGAAAATCCGAAAGTGATATCAAGCTTGAAACGCTGCACCACTGTTGCATTCATAGCCACACGAAAACACACCTGAACAGACGGTGGACAAAGGAAAAGCGGCGTGGCCAAGCAGGGGACAATCCCCGGAAAAGGCGGTGATAAAAAGGGCCGACAAACCGGACAAGCAGGACAGCGGACAAGGCCTGGACAAGTAAGCCTTTGGAAAAGGCAGAAGAGAGCCCATGGCGCGGAACAAGAGGCGGACACAGGTCGCCAGCAGGAGGACACCAAGAGGACAAGAGGAGGACACAGAGTTTGCAAGCGTGGCTAGAGGACAGCAGGAGGGCCAAAGAAGGACACGGAGCTTCGCGAGCGCGTGCAGAGGACGGCGGCCAAGAGGAGGACACAGGGTTGCCGAATAGCAGGAGGACAAGAGAAGGACGCCGCCAGTGGACCGCAGGACGACAAGAGAAGGACAGGAGGGCACAGGGCTTGGGCGTGGCGAAAGGACAGCAGGACGGACACACAATTCATGGCGGAGGCCAGACACTGTGGCCAGTGTTTTTTCCTAGATAGATAGAGAGAGTCCCTAACAGTAAACTGCCTGGGGAAAAATCTGAAACATATGATCAAACCCAAATGGTTTCCGATTTCCGCCAGTGGTGGAATTTGTGCCTCGGTTGCTCAAGGTGTGGGTGCTACCGCTGGCTGCCAACATTGAAGCGGTTTCCAAGTCAAAGAAACCTGTATTCATTGAAAAATCCATTGCTTGACACAGGGCTCAGAACCGTGGTGAGGGTCTGCCAAAAAAATTGCTACGGACTTTCCAGCAACTCGGGCCGAGGTTTGTGGGACGATGTCGGATCCAGGATTGTGCAGATCCAGGATGTTGGGTTGCAACAAAACGTTCAAAGTGGTTCTAAGTTGAAATGACCAGGAGAAGCCGGACATCGTTTTCATGGTTCAAAAGGGCATGTCGCTATATATGCACGGTTCATGCGTTTGACCACCCATGGACTACCCACGTATAGGCCTCCATTGCATACCCCAAACGCATAGTAACCCAGGAATCTGATTAGTGGTTAAATTAGTAAGTTTGGCTTAGTAAGGAAATGTAACGATTGAGTCGGAATGAGGGAATGGATCCAAAAGTGTATATAGTGTTGGGAGTTAGGTATGCCTTGTAAGCATTTGTAAACAGTTTGGAACCTCTCAATGAGCTTCGCCCGAGGCCCATTAGTTGCGAAACGGCGCAAAGTTCCGAACTGCTAGGGCGCTGCAGGAAACCCCAGTGGTTCATGCTGCGCGGTGCAGGTGCGCATCGGGAATATCGAGCATGATCAAGGTGGGGAAAACTGAACAAAAGGTTTCATGGTTGATGATTTTTCATGTTTTGACTGACCGGTTGGTACTCAGATGGCTGACTTGGGTGGCACAAAGCCTAAAGGGATTTGGTGGACCGCCAGACCCATAGGAAGAGCAAAGCCTTTGCTTTTGATTTCCGAAGCCTGATGGCCTCTTCCTCTACAAGGTGGGGGCGACGTGCGAACGATGGTACCACTGAGTTTTGTTTCAAGGTGGGGACGTAGGCTGGCCGGGAGCTTTCGTGCGCACTTTGTCATGTGCCTGGAGCTCGGGCCTTCGTTTTGGTTCAACATACTTGTTTTGGTATTGGTGTGTGTTTCTTCATTTGTTTAATCAACTATACCAAGCAACATGTCACGCTGACAGAAGCCAGCTCGCCGGCATATTTTCACTTGCCCATGGATCTCACGGTCTCGTTTGCTGCTTGGGGCCCTGCTCCTGCTTGACAAATGTCGCACCCGCCTGCACTGGTTACCAGTTTGATTTGCCGTTTGTGATGCCCTTGCTGCTTCGGACACTTCAAAGGCTACAGATGAAAAGTACTAAAGCATTCATACCAGGAGGTGTCTTTCATTTCCCGGATCGCTGAGGTTGCGCTTCGAGTGGCTATTCCTCCAGCAGGAATTGCAGTATTTGCCCCTGGCCCCAGTTTTTCCAAAGAAAGCGGTGCAGTCCAAGCGGCTTCAGAACGTGCGTTCGTACACCATGGGTCCAGGACCAATGCCATGCCCTCCGGCGAGATGTGCGGTCTGCCCTCCGCCCCCGAAAGGTGCAAAGACTGTCATGGAATGCCAAACAGGACATTCAGTGAAGAGACACTCGGTCCTTCACCAGGGTTGTGTGTTGTCGAGATCGGTTGGATGTTTTGGGGAGCCTCTTCACAGCTGCAATGAATCAGAACTCTCGAGTCAGGTCTTATCTAAATCTGAGATGAGACAAAACCAGCACTCCCAGACGAAAGAGGTCAGTAGGAACCTCATGCTGTTCAGTTCAGTGGTCCAGTATTACAACATATTACAATCTGTCATCCAAGACACAAAGCAGACAATATCCTCAAGCAACACAATTGTGGCGTAAGGGATGGTTCTTCGATGCTTTTTACAGAGAGAGAAGATAGCTCTAAAAGAATACCCACAACATTCCTACTGTACGCCCAACCAACGGCAACAGTAAACACTTGGGTAAGGACATGACTTGGTTCAGAGGTTCTTGAGTTGCTTTGACGCTACTGCCTTTGGCTCAACAGTTTCATGTTATAGAGCTGAATCTTAAATTTCAATTTTATGTTGCTGAAGCACTTCAATGCTCTTCATGTCAAGCTTCCATGACGCAGTATCATTCCATTGTATATGTGTTTTTGGCAAGTTCTCCGTTGCATTGATTAGGCCGATTCGGCTCCTGAAAGCCCTCCGTTGGAGGCCGAGAGCTCGGCTGTCCCTCGGAACGTGCAGGAACGTGCACGACGGCGGACCTCGCCGAAGTCGCACATTAAATTTTGAGAAGCGTTCCCCATGGAGAAACAGTTCCACGACCTGTTTCCGGAGAACGATGGCAAGATGCCACGCAGCTGGGCGGAGAAGGGAATGTTCGACTCAGTTTCAATGGACTGTTCTGTGTCATTTTGTAGGAGGTAAGCCGGAGTTCAACGAGGGTGGCTTGCGGAGTGAAAGGTACCCCACCACTTTTGTTGATGAACTGTTTATTCATGTCTACTTAGTCTACTTGTCGGTGGCCATGAGGCATGAGGCTACCCTGTACCAGGCCTGCAGACAGACCCAAAAGGTTGAAAAACGGGACCCATGAGAGCGCACAACAGTGTCACAGTCACAAAACCGAAGAGGTATGAAGAGGTGTTGTTTCACACGGTGCCCCATTTACAAATACTATAAATTGTCTAAGGTGTGTTGTGCAAACAACTCCGCAACGTATCAGGTTGAATACAGAGGTCATTTCCTGACAGCCTCAGTGGGTGGCACCGAGCTTCCATGCAGGGTACTGGTTTTCTCAGACTTCTAATTTATGTTTTCTTAAAGCAGGTCACATTGCGACAGCATCGTGCCCGTCATCCCAGCACAAAAATCCAGGATCGAGGTTGTCTAGCTCCGTTGTGTCGCCGGAACTAGTGGAGAGAGGTGAAACAGGAGCCTACCGGTATTTTGGTCCACCCCTCACTCACTCAATATTGATGGTGTCCTTGGGTATAGTTTTTGGTAGGGTAGAGAGACCGAAAAACCTCTGACCCGGCTAGTGAACACCGGGCTCCATTGGTTGGGAGTGGCTCCGACCCCGATCGACCGTGGTGCACATACTTTTGGGCGTCGTTCAACACGTCGAAGTGCAAGCGGGACTGCTGCCCAATAATTAATGCTTGGAGAAAGAGGGGTAGTTGCGCTTTGCGAAACAAACAATTCTGAAGTGCGAGAAGAGGTTCGGCAAACGGTGTTCTGGATTTTTTATGTGCTTTGGGAGCTTGGAGTTCAAAGCTTTTCACAGGGTGGCTAAGCTTTTCCCTTTCGACCTTTGGGTGGCCGAATGATGTCAGGAGGAGTCTCCACCCAGTCCAATGGCTACTCGCGCGACGTGTCTGGTGGGACGTGCTCCAGAAACACCGTGGACTCCAAGCCACGCATGAGTGGATGGGCAACTCGGACGTGAAGCTTTTGTTTGTCCTTTGAAAACATGGTATGGGGCGATAGGCCGTAGTATATAGCTACATATAGGCATATAGCTACTAATTAAGCTTAAGTATACAGCTACAACCACCTGAAACAGGAAAGCTTCGGCTTCTTCAAGGAAGCTTCCCCCCGCCTTTTCGGGCCAAGGGGAGCTTCCTCAAGGCATCCTTCATTTGGTTCCCAGAAGTTGGGAAGAACTCAACCTCATAGTAGCGTTCTTGTTCCTAGTAGGAAGGCCAGGAGCCCCTAGTAGTGTCCTTGCTCCTAGTAGCGATGCCCTTTGCTCCTAGTAGCTTCTTGCTCCTAAGACTCGTAAGAGTCATAAGTTGCATTCCCTAAAACCATGTTTGGATGTTGGGAGTGACCCAAAACGCACCCCAAGTTGCAACTGGCCCGGCGACAGCAACTGGGCCGGGCCATCTAATCAGTAACTCGTTGCAACTTTGAGGCCTGAAAGAGCATGCGGAAATTCGGAAACACTCGTTTGCAGGGGATTCAGCAGCCCGTGATAAGCACAGATTAGTCGTTTGAAGAACCTTTCGGAGTTTGTCAGTACTTTCTGCCAGCCCATGGAGATATCAAGTTCTCACGACTTCTCGCACACACTGAAGGCTGCTGGCTGACGTTTTG